CTTTTCTACAATGGACAAGTAAGCTAAAAGTGTTTAGGGCCAACAAGGTACCATTGTCAAAATTGCTTGTTCTATCCATAGACTGCCTCTATGCCACTATTAAAGCCCTCACAAAATGCTTCAGCCAATCAGTGTTTCCAACCTTAGTCTTCTTAGGGCTCAATTTAGGTTGACTTTTTTTTTCATATGTCCATAAGAACTGAAATATTTGTAATCTTTGTTAAATGTTTAATAGGTATGTTGTATTTTTAAATAAATATCCTTTTGTCATTAAGAAAAGAAATGTGAAAAACAATTTTGGATTAAAAACAAATTTGGCTTTAAGAATTACTTCCTTTGGTACAAAATAACACAAGAACTTGAAAATCTGATTCTCTTTCACTGACAGCAAAGTCATTTTCTGAATGTGTTTTAATGGCATGATGTGGTCTGATGTTTCTGCAAGAACCAGCCAAATGTCACCCAGTATTAGTAACACTAGACATAGAACACATGTCCATTATTTCTTACTCAATTTTTGATACATTATTTGTTTTAGTTTGACAGTTTTTACCATTCACCAAGAAAGTTTCTGAGACAAAAAGGAAATAGAATAAGGATGTCGCCTGATTTTTATAAAGCATTGTTTATGAACTAAACACATACAACTTTAAAAGAATTTCATAGGCCAAGATGTCAAACAAGAATCATGTTTCCAAAAATATAAGCTAATTGTGGAATTCTAGACCTTCCTGTGTTTTACATGGATAAAAACTAAATGCATCACCCAACTAAAATGCTACTTATGTTTTCATTGAAATTTCTAAAGCCGTATGCTTTTATCTCATCTATAAAGTCAGTTCCTCAGAGACCACCATCAACTTATGTAGGTCAAAGAAGGCACCTAAGTGTGATTCCATAGGAGCTAATAAGCAAAAAAGGGGCAGAAAGATCAAAATGAGTCATTCTCATTTAAAAACCCAAAAATCTTATTCAAAAAAATAAAGTTCCTATTATATACCAGGCCCATGAATTAACTGGGCTTCGTATCCCTACTATCTAGTGTTGTGTCAAGCACAGAATCATAATAATTTTTTTCAGTACTGAATAAACATACTAATAATAAGATATAGAATATTATTTTTTAATAATTATATCAAAGAACATTCCGCTCAAATGTCATCTAAATAAAGGATAGAAGGTGTCATAGCTGTTGATGTAATCTGGAATCCACTGATTTTATTTATTTAAATGACTATTACAAATATGAAACATATTTACAAAGAATCTTACCATTATATCAGTTCACCTGAGGGTTAGAATTGTTACTTTTTCTAAGAGAAGAAAATTAAGGAAATTAAGCCATTCCTTAAGAAAGGCATTTTATGCCAATTACATACATCACCTGGCCACATTGAATTTGACTATATTAAAATACCAATAATTTTATCTAATTTAGAGTGCTCTGTAGCATTATAAGTTCTACTAATTATATTACTGCTCTATTTGTATGCTTCTGCTTTCGTCTTTCCACCACATATGCAGTGATGGCATCTTTGTTCCATATGCATGATAACTTGTTGGTATAGAACTGTAAAAGAACAATTTCATCTCAATACCCTAAACCATCTGCCACAGAAGATCACAGATTATGCTGTGATGCTCCTACAGGAAGTTTTAATACTTAGAGACTTTGACTAAATACTTGAGGCTGATGTAACTATCAGACCAGTAACTGTGTGAGATAACAGTCTAATGCACCAATCTAACAAGAATTAGGGACACAAAGGAGACAGTCAGTGGAGTAATAGTATCCCACCCAAGGCAACTAAGCATTTGAGCTCTCCGGAAGTGCCTGATATACAAATTAAATTCCTGACAGACTGGCTAGCAAAGGCAATTATTTCATGTTAAATGCTCACACTGATTGATCACAGGTGGCTTCATGGGTAACTGATCCTGGTCTAGGCAAAAGTAATAAAGGCCTGAACTAGGGGAACAGAAGTGTAAATGTAAAGGAGAGAGATTATAGCAGGATGACTAAGGGGATGGTGATAAATTTAATTTAACCAAAAAACCCAAAAAACACTTGGAGAGGCATAGGTGATGGATACCACCTTCTGTCATACTGGATCCATTTTCTACTCCTTTCCACCATACTCTCTGCCTAGGGAGGCTGACCTGTGGTCTACAATCTCTGGATTCTAGTGGGGTTTAGCACCAGCAGCCTGGACAGGCCATTAGAAGGAAGAAAGAAATCAGAGGATTGATTCTCTTGGCTGTATCCCTGTGAAGTAGCCTCAAGATGCCCGAATTCCTCAATCCAAGATCACAGTACCTCTAAAGACACTACTCTCTACCCTTCTCTTTTCTAGGTTCCAGCAACCACGCCCTTTCCACATCCTTTGGGCCAGGGATATTAACGACTCCACTGTTACTAGCACAGGGACACTATACTCTCCCTATAGTTTCCCTAAACCTAACTTCATCTTTGTAAATAACAGCTTCATTAAACCCTTCAAATTACCCTAATTTGAACATATCATTTGCTTCCTGTAAGGATTCGATATATCAAATATGATTTTAAGATTTTGATCTTGGGTGGCTGTGAGAACAGGTGATATCATTAGCTGAGATAAGGAATACAGGAAGATGAGCAAGCTCAAAATTGGGGGAAAAAACACATTTTCAATTTGCTATGTGACAATTGTGGATCATCCACAGAGAGAGGTTGGCAGCAGCTGCTAAAGTGGACCTGGCCTAAAGACATGGATAACAATTAATTTTTGGAAATTTGTAAGTCCCACTAGTTTAATAGAGAATTTATTTAATTTGAGAGATGTAAAACACAGAAAACTCTCTCTAAAATTATAGAAAACTAAAGTTTTAAAGGATCTTAATAATCATTTACCTGAGCTCTCCCTTTACGGGTGTGGTGACTAAAATCCACGGCTAGCTATCAAAGGACACAGTGGCAGTACTGGCACTAAAAGCTACAGCTTCCGGGTTCCTACATCTGTGCTCTTTTCACAAAATACTTCATTTATCTCTACTTGACTAGTTTCCACTAGTCAACAAATACTGAGTGCCTACTCTGCATTCAACTTGTGCTAATTCATGTGAGGAATAAAATAGAAGTATAACAGTTTTCCAGTAGTTTACATCAGTGGTCCCCAACCTTTCTGGTCCCAGGGACTGTTGCTTCTATGAGACTCTAATGATCTGAGGTGGAGATGAGGCAGTGATGCTAGCACTGGGAAGCAGCTGCAAATACAAAGGAAGCTTCACTGTTTGCCACCACTCACCTCCTGCTGTGAGGCCCAATTCCTAACAAGCCACAGACTGGTATTGGTCTTCGGCTCAGGGGGTTAAGGACCCCTGGTTTACAGTCTTAATTGACTACCAACTCATAAAAATGTTTAGAAATGAGAGTACAAAAGAGAAATGACTGTGTAAGCTAAAGAGAATAGGACATTTTTGTACGACAAGGGTACTGTCGTCTAGTATTAGCATTTTGAGATTTTAGAGGTTTCATGTGAATTGTTGTGAGTGAGGAAATAACAACAGTCTTACAGTAGTAAAGGACTGTTTAATTTATCATTTTTAAGCATACATATTTCAATTATACAACATAATATAGAGCTGTAAGAATCCATAAACCTATCTGATCCTACCTATAATAGACCATCCTTCTAAATGACAGCTTAAGTGAAAACATATTTTGGCAAATGTGTGAGAAAAGATGTTTTTATTACTCATGTATGTATGTATGAATTTATAAATGTATTATTACTATTTATCTGTACGTGTGAAGTAAGGAAGGGAGATGAAACTCTGAAAGCCTATAACATTGCTCCTTAGAAATCACATATATTTCCTCCTCCCTGCTTACTGTATGACCTGGTATACAATTTTAAACTATGCTGAGAACGTTCTTAACAGGAATTATAACTAGAATACTATCATTCTACTCTCGCATATCAATGTGAGAATTATTGCTATAGGAAAGAAGTGATGTCTGCAAAGACAGTTAAATGATCTCTCTTCGTCTTACGGTTGAAATTAGTTTACTTTGCTAATTACAACTTATAAGTGCTTCACAAATTTTCTGCTTTTTCACCTACTATGCCTAAATAATATCAGACTTTGGCAAGTGGGTGATGATTCCCAAAGTGTGAGAAAAAAAAAAAAAGATGTCCAATGAATTAATAATTAAGAAGGAAAAAAATCTCATGAGATTCCAGCTGTATAGAGCAGTTCATAGATAAAAATCAGGTATTAACAAGATTATCTAAGAATTACTGACAACCTAAACCCTGAGAATTAAACTAGAAAGCAAAGAATTATCTTAGTTTCAATCGTCAGTTAAAAAAAAAAAATGCCATTAATGTTGATCTTATCTTGTAGTCTCTCAAGGAACCACAATTTTGACTTTAAGTTCACCCAAGCATATTAACGGGAAACAGGATGTCTGCACAACCCAGCTCAATTATCTGTTTTTCTATACTACAACATTCATCATTGTGGGAAGGAAAGTTTGGCTTAGATAACACTCAGGTCTTACACCAATACCTGTGTAACAACACAGTTTAAGTTTACTTTCATTGCCCATAATTCAACTACTAAATTACTCACATGGATGGCTGATGAGCAAGAAATTCTACAATGTCAAAATTCTTGATTAATATGAAAGGATTTTTTGCTTATGTACTTAAACACTACGGGTTTAAAAGGCCTTTTCTTAAATCGTGCATTTTTAGATGGAATACATCCCATTTTTTCCTTTCAGTACAGTCAGAATTTGTGACAGAATTATATAAGCAAATCCTTGGAAGGTTTTTTAAAGCTGGACTACAATTATGTTAAAAATACATATGCACATGGACGGACTGGAAAGCAATTAAGTGCACAAAATTGTATCAGAAAGGTTGAATTACAGGTGCCTTTTTCCTTTTACAAAATTATATTATTGTTGATACAGTGTAAATTCAATGAAAATTATTTAAAGCTCAGGTACTTACCGTGGTTGGGAAATAACGACTAGTTTTGAATTTTTTCAGAGCCATAGAAGACGTGTAGGTGCCCAAGAAGAGAATGAAAGACATGAGTGTGATATCAGGAACAAAATCACAGTTGTTCCCCAGGAGATTTCCTCCATATTTCAAACACTCCTTCTTTGACAAAACTGCCCAGTCAAAGGTAGCATTATGGTACTGAAGAAGAAAAACATTAACATTTTTATAGAGAACATAGAAACATCAAAAGCTTTTGATACTTGATGGGCTAAATAGGGATTATGCTAAAAGTTTCTGAAAAACAGTGTAACCATTGCGGCGTGAAATTTGATGTTAATGGACTAACAGGTAAGGGAGGCCAAGAGGCTAGCAATTACAGAAAATATCATGAGAATGATGCAATCTGTTACCTACTTTGGGCTACAGCCCTACAATCACCCATTTGTTCAACAGACAAACCACAAGTGCTTCTTTCCTGTCAACCTTCCTGAGAGTAAACTGAGACACAATAATACCCTAACTCTCAAAACATGAAACTCTCTGAAACACCACTGATGTTGAAAAATACTTACTTTTGTAGTGTGCAGCTTCTTGTGCTTCAAGCTGATGATGACCCATGGTTAATGCTCTAAAAGTTATATTCACTACTCATTTACCCAGCACTTTCACAAATGAGGTTGTTTTTTTCCTAAATAACTAGAATTTGTGATTTAAGGAATTAAACTATAAAAATGTTGATGGGCTCTGCTTTTTCAATTACATATCCTAATAAAATATAGCTTTTTCTCTTGTTGATTCCAGCTCTGCATCATGAGCATCCATTATTGGAAAGTGCTGTAAATGGGCTGCGAAGTTGTGTACGGGATATTCATCCCTATGTTACATGGCCTCAAGCTCATAGGTCAATTTTGAAATTTTCTTCTATCTCATAAACTGCTGTCATGTTGTCAGTGCTGCACTCCTCAACAGCAGCTCACTCCTACTGTTGTTTTCTGTTTCTACTATGCAGGAGAATCCTTTTGCTAGTGTGATGGATATGGCCAGTGCACCCATGCCCCAGGTGCTCTGAGTTTTAGCTATGATCAGCTCATAGCTGCCTTCTTCCATAGAGAACTGCCTTCAGCTGCATAAGAACTACCTTACCTGGAATGTTATGCCTTTCTGCAGCCAATTACTGACCAACGTTAATGGGATGATATTGACTGAAAATCTGGGCTCCCCTAAAATTCATATGTTGAAACCCAATCCCCCTATGTGATAGTATTCGGAGGTGGGGCCTTTGGGAGATGATTAGGTTATGAGAGTGGAGCCTCCACGAATGAAATTAGTGTCCTTATAAAATGAGACCCCAGAAAGCTACCTTGCCCTTTCCATCATATGAGGAAACAGTGAGAAGAAGGGTGTCTATGAACAGGGAAGCAGGTTCTCACCAGATACTGAATCTGCCAGCACCATAATGTTGGACTTCCTTCTGGTTCCAGGGCTAATGGGTATATAATATACTAAGGAAAAAGTTATTTGAGAATACCTTGACAATAAATGTGGATAGGTAAATTCCTCCTTTCCTTTGGAGGTACAAGTTCTACATCAAACCAAACACATCATCAGTATCCTTTACTATTCAATGACTTCTCTTGATATGAGTGATCGAGTCATAAAAGATCACACACATACAAAAAAAAAAAAAAATCTCTGGTCAGAAAGAGTTCTGTATTTTTATAGAGCTCAAAATGTAAAATGCTCACATCATTTTTACAACAAAAAAAATAAACTCTAGACCATTCTCTGAAATATTTTTTTTCTTTATTAGCTTCAACTTATAAACTCAACTGCATAATTACTCTTATATCACACTCTGCCTCTGAGAGGTGATTAATCATGTCTCGTTTTGTTTTTCAGATTTCTACATATGGATGTTTTTAGCAGAATACATTTAAAGTTGAGAGGTCATAACAGGTAACAGATTTCTTTGTTTTAAAATCAGCAAAAATTTACCATGATTTAACTTTGGCACTTTTATCTCAACAGAATCCTTTTCTATAACTAGAGTTCCCCAAAGAGATCTGCATTAAAACAATTCCAACAGGCAGTTTTATTGACTTTCTTACAGAGATTTAGGCTGAAGTGAAAACTATACAGATGTATATGAAATGATAGATATGTTTTCTTGCTTACATACAATGCTTCATTCACTTATCCAATGAGTCCTTTATTCAAAACTTATTGAATGCTCAGCATGTGGAGGAACTGACAGCGAGTGGACCAGATGGGCCAAGCAGACTGTGTAAATGAAATGGGTAGTGAGAAAAAAGGTGCAAAGGAAATGGGACCAAGCCGCTGAAGGTCTTTACAGGGGTCAATTTTGTGGAAAGGGATTTTAATCTATTTCTCTGGATCTCATTTTCTAGAGATCCTGTTTATATTGAGTGGGCCTGTTTAAAAATCTTAGAAGTACAATGTATACTGAAAGATTAATTTAGAATTTTAAAATCTATAGCATCCTCTCCAAAGACAAAAGTGGGGGACATATGAGAAAAGATGGGCAAAATGTTGACAGTCATTTAAGCTAGGTGATATGTGTATAGGTTTCATTGTATTGTCTTTATTTTAATGCCTATTTTAAATTATCCATAATATTTTTAAAAGTAGGAACATGTAAACTTCAGGAGATTTAAGGACAGAATGATTTTTGCACTTGACTTTCTCAATGAGAGAAAAACAACAAGGACGTGATGCACAAGATTAATAAGACATTCCATTTCCCATGAAAATGAATGTTAACTCCTAGAATTGCCCTGAAGTTACAGCAAATCAGAGCTATAACTTTTGCTTTCATGTCTGGCTGCCAAGCAGAATATATGCGATTGTAATACTTCTTAGTCCCATAATTAACAGCATCTTCATGTAAACATGATATGCTTCATTGAGTAATAAAATAAGCAAAAAAATAAAAATCAAAGATTCTACATTGCTCTCCTTGTATAGACTGGTAAAACATGTGCCTTTTAAAACACATTTAAATGCAAGTAATGCTACGAATAAAAGTCTCAAGGTTAAATAGTACATTTACTCACTTAGGGTTTTTTTCCCCCTGCAGTGAGTAAGCCAGATGTGCAGTAATTTGCAATCTTACTTTATTATTGACAGGATGCATTTGAGCTGCAGTTGTCTGTAGTTACATGTATTATCGTAAAATATCAAAAATAATTGGTTGTTCTGCTTGTGCTTAAGATATAGAAAGTTGCAGGAGACCATTATTCCCAACCTGACAACCAAAGCAAACTAGATACACTATAAAATCTATTTTTAAAAATCCACCAGAGAGAGATGAGGATGTGAAGAAACCTAAATAAATTTCAAAAAGTTATAAGACCTTCATAGGAGAAAAGAGATCCATGGCTGCCTCACCTCAGCAGAGTAGCAGGTGGAAGATAAATCAACTGTAGATGGAGGGAAGAAAAATAAGCTAAGTCTTTAATGAGTTTTTAATGGCTGCTTGTAGACTGGGGTGACGATTAGAATTCTGAGGAGCCCTAGGCAAAGATGGAGCCTGCATCCACTCACCAACCTTTCTCTTGGTCTTTGTCAAATGCCCAGGTAATACATAAAATGCTGAAGGTTAAACAGGATTGCTGAGAGAAATACCCCCTTAGACACAGAGTGTCCAGCAAATGTAAGAAAGCAACTTTCCTAAGTTGGGAGGCAGGGCAGGAGAGCTGAGGGAAAACCCTCTGAGGCAGGCAGGCAGGCAGGCAGGCACTTTTGACCAAAGAGGGCTAAAACTTCTGTCCTCAGAAGGCTGGAGGCAGAGCAGCTGGACAAAGAAAGATCTCCCAAGGCTCAGAAAGCTGTGGCATAAAACAAAATACAGGGCATACCATGGGACATTCTGGGATGAGAGAAATGTTCTATATCTTGTTTCGGGTAGTGATTATATGAATGTATAAAATAATCAAAATGCATTACAACAAAAATGTAAGAACTGTGCATTTTATGGCATGCCTCGTTTTTATTAAAAACAAAAGAAATCTAATGTGAAAAACAAATACTAACTGATCTATTCAATCGCCTCCTTAGAAGAGGCTAATAATGTTAGATTTTGAAATCTGGTCTCTCCCTTTGAGAGCTGCTCAGTGGAAGCCAACAGATCTTAATGCTTACTGTTTAGATATTCAGTGTGGATAAGCTGCGGCTGGTCTCATAGTCTTATAGGGACCTTTTAAAAAGTTTATTTACAAGATGAAGGAATATGCCAAATGAATAATCTATGAGAAAATGGTGAGAAGAATTAAAGACACAATTCCACCAAGAAATGAAAGTAATGGAACAACTGCCTTTTTATCTTGAGGGATGGTTATTCTAGAGTTTTAATCTTTGTCTCAATGCTCTAATGCATCGGTCCCCAACTTTCTGGCACCAGGAACCAGTGCTCCTATGAGAATCTAATGCCTGATGATCTGAGGTGGAGCTGAGGCGGTGATGCTAGTGCTGGGGAGCAGCTGCAAATGCAGATGAAGCTCTGCTGGCTCACCAGCCACTCACCTCCTGCTGTGCAGCCTGGTTCCTAACAGGCCACAGACCAGTACCAGTCCTCAGCCTGGGGTTTGGGGACCCCTGTTCTAATGCCCTCATTTTCCTGCTCTTTCTCCCTGAAAACATACCCCTACCACTAGGAAGAAAAAAACTTGTCTTCATGCTGAGGAAGCTGAAGGGAAAAAGCCCTCCTTCCTCTGACAGGATATTCTCAGGGCTCTGTGAAAGGGAGTCTCACCAATCCCCAGGGGTGGCATATCATTTCTGCAACATCTTTTGTGATCTAACTATGGTTTAAATGAAAAGAAGAAAGTTAAATGCGGATGACTGTATGTCCTAGGAAAGATTCTGCATAGCACCCAGTACCATAGCTGGGCAGACAGAGGTCTCAGTAGCCTGTCAGAGGCAGTGGTTTCCAATTTCTTCTCTCCACGAACCTGAGTTACGGAGGTAGCATGGCTCACTGGAATGATAATATCTAAATAGAATAATAACAATACTTAACATTGATTGAGAGATAAGTATGTGCCAGCCACTATGCTAAGTCTTGCCTATCCATTAATTTGACCTTTATAGTTCATAATTATATATACACATATGCGCCCTAATTTCTTTCTCTAGAGGTACTAAACATAGCAACTTAACATTTTAATTAAGGCATGCAATTGATACATGAGGAGGATGTTGCCCTGGAGTATAGAGCATTCAAAAGAATTGAAAGGGTAAGCTTTTCAATTTGCAGACATTTAAGCATCATGGTGTACTGCCATTACAAGTCCTGGAAGCAACCAGACTTCAGTTCAAATCTTTATTCTACTAATTTATGGCTATGTGACCTAGAGCAAGGAAGGTTACTTACCATCTGCAACTTCAGTTTCTCTCATCTATAAAATGGAGATAATTATGCCTGGTATTTTCTGTTAATGATTATAATACTTAAGGTTCATAATGATTATAATATGTACAAAACACCTGGTCTCTAGTAGATACTCTATAAATGGCAGTTAAGTTATCATCAATATTGTGCCTTTACACTCTCTATCATAGTCGTATCGGAAGTCTGCCACAATTTCCATTTGTTTTCCATGAATCTTATACTGGCATCTTACTATAATTACTATATATTAATTATTGGAGTCTCTCCAGGACTTGCCCAAAGACAAGGCTTAAAAATTCATTAATTTTAAAGCTTTTCTTGATTATCTACAAAAAGAATTAAGTTAGGAATAATCTCTTTTTAAGTCAGTTGGAAGTGTTTTATTAATTTTTATTGCAAATTAATTTATGGTTTTAATTACATATATTTTTAAATTTTTAATTAGATTTTAATTAAAGTTCTTTAAAGTCTAGAAGAATCTAGTTTTCTCTGTATTTTAATCAAATCCTTTCAAGCAATAAGTTGACTGGCTCAAAGATTGAAAACTGAACTCCCTTCTATATATTGCTTTTAAAAGATATATACATACTGTCTTACATACACACACATGCATGCTCAGACATGAAAGAAATAAAGAGGCAAAGTTTGGGGAAAGTCAGAGAAAACTTTAAAAAGTCAAGAGAAACACAGAATATGAAAACAAGAGAGAAATAGGGTCAAGCGAGAGTTGTCCAGCGAAGACACAAAACATCGTCTCTGAAGGGATGTTGTGGGCGCTCATTATATAATATCTGCAGAAGTGTTCTGGTCTCCTGAGAGATGGGCACTCTATTAGTATAAAGTGTTACAGTTTCTGTCTTTGTAACTGAGAGACTGATATTCTTTGGTAAGAGTCCATATCCAGTGAAGAAGGAACACAATTGGAAGTCTGAAACAGCACTTTCCCCTTTCTCTCTAACACAAAAGTCTCCTTCCAGTGTGTGACCTTCCATGCAAAAGAGCTCATTTTTAAAGCTTAGTTCCAGTCTCTTAAAGATCCTTGGTTACAAGCCATGGGAAAGGATATCATGTGACAGAGGCACAGTCTTTTCTAAGTGACAGGGGAAATGTCCTTCTACAATCAACCTTAGTAAAGAGAAAACAGCACCATTTGGTAGCCAGAAGAATTCTTAATCATACTAGAAACGAAGAGAACACCATGCTCTCATTTCTTGACTTCCCTCACTTTCCCTAGTGAAAATATTTCAAGGTGACAATGAATGGGACATAGTAGTTAAATTCCTAAGAAGGTTTAAAAATCCTGTGGTAGAAGTAAATATTCACTTCAATTTAAAAAAAAGAAAGTCGACTTGAGGAAAGTGTTTTTTCTGTCCTTCTACTATCACTGATTATTAAATACGTTTTCATGCTAAGATTGCTGAATGATAGGAGACATCACGTGAATATCATAATTAGAGTATACAATATGCAAATATGCAAGGGGTTTGACATATTAAGTCACTTACCATGTCAGTAGAAGACATAGTTGGCAAATCCTCTGGAGCCAATGTAGTGTCATTAGATACCGAGATATTAACTATAAGAAAAAGACAATTTTTAGAAAAACAATAACCAAATGAATAATTACTAATCTAAAAAGCAGGGTTAGGCATTAAAAATGTCTTCGAACAACGTAGGTGACAGTGAATTTTTTTTTATTATAACTGTAGCTACCTTTCATGCAGATAAAATAACCAAAAATTTGGACACATCTGTTGTGCTCTAATTTGACAAGAAACAATGGCAAATATTTAATGAGATGGTATAAAATTTATTTGTTTCAGGGTTTGTTTGTTTTTTTAAAAAAACCTCTATTACTAAAGGCACTCAATATATTTTGTCTCATGGAAGAAATGGCTGTTAATAGTGAGTAAGTTGATGATTAGCTTCATGTAGAGTCAAATCTCACAAATTGGAGTTTTTCTAATTAATAAATAACTGATTTTGAAATTTTCAGAAATTTGGACCGCAAACGAAAAAGTATATCTTTGTAAAATGTGTGAAAACAAAAAAAACATACTAAATAAATAATAAATTATATAAATATAATTGAGATGAATATTTAATCTAATTTTTAAAATTATTTTTTATATAATTTGGCATCATTTGTAGATTTAAAATGTCACTTACAAAAGAACCTAATTTATTTATTAAACCATCCCTCTTGTTGGAAATATTTCATTGTTTTTCTATTTATGAGTCTAAAAATAAAACATAGTATTTAAAAAGCATACCATAATTAAACTATTTTTCTTTATCAGATGAGCCATTTTTGTATTATGTGAAGCTTTATGTATTATAAAAAAATTGTTACTCAGAGAATATCCTTAATTTATGGAAATATTGTGAATTAACACTTATTAGATTTCTGTCTTCAAGGACCAAAAGTTTTTGTAACATCTAAATTTTTCATTAATGTTTGGTCCCCGAGCACCAAGCTTCAAGCCTGTCCTTTCAGTTTGCTATGATTCAGGTCTTACCTATAAAAATTTTTAAGGAGAAATAGGTAAGTTTATGTGACTGTTGAAATTTAGAATGTAAAATCCATGAGGGAAAAATAGAAGGGATATGTCTTATTCATTGCTTTGCCCCAGCATTTGCCCAGGCTGGCACTTAACTAACAGGAACTCAAAAATATTTATTTATTATTTAATCTTTAAAAAGAAGGAAATCCTGCCATTTGAGACAAAGTGGATGAACCTGGAGCACATTATGCTAAGTGAAATAAGCCAGACAGAGAAAGACAAATACTGCGTGGTATCACCTATTGGCAGAATCTAAAATTAAAAAAAAAAAAAAAGGAAACAGAGTAGAATGGTGGTTGCAAGGGGCTAAGAGTGGAGAAAATAAAGAGAGATTGGAAAAAGGATACAAATTTTCAGCTCTAAGATGGATAAGGTCTGAGGATCTAATACAAAACATGGTGACTATTGTTGATAATGCTGTATTGTATAACTAAAATTTGCTGAGAGTAGAATATAAGTGGTCTCACCAAATAAAATAAATATGTGAGGTTATGAATGTGTTAACTTGGGAATCCTTTCACAATGTATACATATATGAAACCATAGCGTTGTACACTCTAAATATATTAAAATTTTAATTGTCAATTACACTTCAATAAAGCTGAAAAAAAGTATTTGTTTACTGTCAATAAAAGAAGATAGGAAAGGGGCCATATAATGACTACAAATAAATGAGAGCAGATAAAGGCAAATGAAATGAAATAAGAAAAGCAAATAAAAGAGGAGAAAATATTTAGCTTGAGTTCTAATTTTTCTCAATTTTGGAATCCATTCTGATCTTTGAAAGTTCTGGAATTGTTAAACTTTTAACCTAAAGCAAGCTGCTGCTGGGGCTTCCCCACTTCCTCCATAAAACAAGTACACATGTAAACTGTGCGTTTGCTTATACTCTCTGTTTCATTACAGGTCACAGAAAGGATCAAAATAGGCTAAAGGATGCTTAGCCCAAACAGTAAAACCAAATACGAATTCATTCCCAAAAGGAAGAACATATTACTAAATTATTATTAACAAAACCTAGATTTTAAATACCATTTTGTTCTATAAAGCTTAAAGTACATTTTCTTACATTATTTCATTTGTTCACTTACAAACATACAAGACCACATAACCGGTATACTTTTATACCCTTTTATGTTGGATGGGATTCTTTGACTATGCTAGATTTCTTGCTCAGATTACAGAGTCAATCAGAAGTAGAGTTGGTACGAAAACCTTGTTCAACCTTCCTTCTTTTTCTACCCAGCTTTTCTAATTATCAAAATCAAGATGATTTACGTGGCCAAAGAATTCAAAGTGAGATAGTAGTTGCCAATGTCAGATGATGTGAATCTTGACCATGAGCTGAAATGTCTGACCTGTCCAAGTGTTTGAAGGAAAACAGCATATGTGAAATCACAGTCACTATTTAGATGGTGTCTGGGAAACTGCTCTTCCTGAGCTAGATTCTTAATGCAATTTTGTGAGCTTCCTGTAACATAACAGTGACGGTCTTTTTGTGGCATACTTTTCTGCACAAAAACAAGGAGTAAGGAGTGAAAGGGAAAGATAATCCAAGCTCCTTCTTTGTGAAATGAATGACAGATAATAAAGACCATGGGTGAACTAAAATAGGATTACAATCTGAACTTCTAGTAACTGCACTCAAGTTTGGATACACATCAGCCCAGCTCATAAAATTCCTTTTATCTTTTCAGTTTTCCTCTGGGACAAGCTACTAAAGCAAAATGGTTCTCAAAATCCTAAAAGACCAGTATCAAAAGGACAGTAAAAAAGTATAAACATACTTATTTTATTAAGCAGCTGCTTTTAAAGAAAGACTTAAAAATAAATATATCAACAAGCACTTCCATAAATATATATTGGCAACATATAGTAGAGTCCATAAATAAGATTAAAAGTTAATTTCTTTAAGTTCACAGAAGAGAAAATGATTAATTCTAATTGGGAGCTTCGTCTACAAGGGCCATTGGTCATTATTTGGATCCAGACACATACAATGCAAATATTTTGGCAACCAATTGTAGAATGATCTATTTATATAGAATTTGCAATATCTTTAATTAGGATTCTGGAAAGGTCAAACGAAAAAGTCAAAACGCACTGCACTCTGTCTGTCTTCACTATTTGCTTAGTACCAGGGCTTATGAAGCAAAGAAACTCTTTGCCGTAAGAGTCTGGATCATTTAGAATTAGCCAATTGTTACTGGGACAGTCTGTGTCCCATACTTGGTTTCAGCAAGTTTCCACACGTTGATCGTTTTATGTTACTTGGATTTTCACTTCTTGATCCTCCTTCCCATGTATCGAATTCTAGCTGATCCTCTGGAACAGGAGGATGAACACTGTCAGTAACAGACATTTAAAATGTGTCAGTGAGTTTTCCATCTTTAGCTGGCTTTTCCTTCTTTATGTTTAATGAGAGATCTAGAGAAAGGAACAGGCTGCAGGAGCTATAAGCAGATACATCCACATGTCATTGTTCCTTCCTGCAAAGGGAATATCAATTGCACTGTTTAAGGTTGTCCTTCTTTATCCTGGTTACCTGGCACCAGGAACTACCCCATGACTCCTGTGCTTTACACATTAGCAGAAAATATGTCATCAGGAATTCACACAAAAGCTCACTTGAGGCCATGAAGTCATGTATGAGCAACGACGAGCCACTGAGGCAGATCCATTTGCTTTGATGCACTACCACATCACAATGTAGAGAAAGGAATACTAGGAGAACTGGGCTGGAATTCTGACTCCACTGCCTTCTGGAGCACAGTGTCCCCAGACACCCTCACCACACAATCTTGGGGAAGTTACTTCGCTCCTCTCGACTACAAGTCCCTCATTTGTGAAACTGGATTTGAAACTACCCACCTCAAAAGGTTACTGTGTAGATTAAATAGAATAATGTAGGCAAAACTGTTAGCAGTGTCGAGTACCAGATAGCTAAATAAATGATAGCTAAGGTTATTACTAGCTTTATGACCTGGAGAAAGCAGGGAAGAATGTCAGCTACCTCACAATGTTTATGTGATGGTTAAAAACATATATAATATTAAAATGTAGTTTAATAAAATGTAGTTTAGTAAAATGTCTGGCACTTAGATGGTGCTTAATAAATGCTAGCCAAATCTGAATCTACACTCTCAACATAGGTTACAATAATGTGGAAATTATTAACCTGCTCTGAATTGCAATAAATTTAAGAGTATTCTTCATGATAATAAAACTTTAATATTTTATTCCTTTCTATTTAAGCAACCTCTTGAGGAAATCGAGTACTGGAAAATAGATATGGATTGAAAATAGATAAAACTGAATAAGCTTCTTGCCTACATGGTCTTGTCAGATTTATTTAAGGGTCCTGGAAAACTTGAGCACACAGGTGCCTCTTGATAAAGTCAAATATTTATGCTTTAAAGCTCTAGATCAATAAAAGCCAAAAAGGCTTTTGTAGGGACAATAAGGTGAATGAGGAAAACTTTGGGAGAAATAGCTCTTAGAGAAATTACCTGCCACTATCTCAGCCTTTAGTCTTAACATGAAATTATTAGAAAGTTTTTCTTCACTTTTTCTTGTTATTATCCTTTTGGTTTTCCTAGTATTTTTATCAAATCTCAAGTTGATACTTGAGATTTTCATTATAACTAGATAAGTTCAAGTTATGACACTCTTCGATCCATGGGTACATTTTACATGTTCACCTATGATACTGCACTGGAAGTCAAAGAGCTGAGCTACTATCCAGTATTAAGCTAGACGTATTTAGCCACTATCTTCACAAAATTTTCTCTTTCATACTCACTCATCCTTACATTTAGGATGTATAAAGATATTATTCTGTGGTCTGTTTTCAAAATCCGTGTTTCATACAAACTCAAAGCTAGAGAAGTTCCAGGTTTGGTAATTATCCAAATTCATTGCTTCTCCTTTTCTGGTTCTTGCAAGAATTATATAAAAATTGCTAAAATATAGGTTAAAACTACCACATCACAATGTAGAGAAAGGAATACTA